GCCCTATTTTAGCTAACTCCTAACAATAACGCCTATAGCAACTGCTACATTGAGATAAGATTTTGTTATAATATTAGCCTGTCGCAGGGGTACATATGGCCGCAACTGCAAGTTTAACTGCACTTGCTCAGAGAATTCCGAGTGCGACCCTGAGACTGGGAAGTGCCGATGTGATGCAGGCTGGATAGGAAGTCAGTGTGAACACGGTAAAGTTAAGGAAAAATGTCTTTAAAATTCTCATTTGAGTTCCATTTCTAACGTTGAAGGACTATAGGAACGAGGACGAGAAGAGAGAATTGACCCTTCCCATTTTCCCGTACACGCACCTCTCGCGCGCTTCCCTCGTTAATTTTTGAAACAGTAGAGAGACGAGTGGGATCGATTCAAGGTTCAAAGGTGAAAAGCAAGGTGCATATCTACCGCTTGAATCGGAAGATACTTACAATTAACAGCGTGTGATGCTTCACTGACTACTTGTATAAGTTTTAAGATCATTCCCTCTACAAGAACAACGAGAGCAAGATCAGAATATAAAAACAAATGGGACAAAGTACTAATGATGTTTCTGCAGTTTTCCGGAACTGAGTTGTTTTTCCACTCAGCCTGATGCTTTCAGTAGCATTGTTTAGACATACTTTTAGTTGTCCTTAACGATAGGTGATCTTTGCATCCATGATAACTGTTTTTCTTTATTTTCTTTCATAAGTTTGTCCATCGGGAACGTTCGGCCCTGGTTGCCGGCAGAAATGTTCTTGCTACAACGGTGTCTGTGATCACGTGAACGGAAAATGCCATTGTTATCCGGGATACCAAGGAGTGAATTGCGAGAAAGGTATAGGAAAATTATTTATTTGTCGAATATCGTCAGTAAGACTATTGGACTTCACATCAGAAAATGGTAGCCTCTTGAAAATGCTTTTTATTTGATTGGAAGTTGAAAGCAGTCTGGGATAGCGTTGCTTATGCTTAGCTTCGCTCTATAATTGGTCTAAAAAGCTGACACCGCTCTCAACCAATCAGATGTAAAACCTAAATTAGTCGTCACTTGGTCACTCGCGTTTTCCCGCCCTTCACGCTGATCACGTATTTCAATTATCATCGGCTACATCGGCAATTTATCTTCATTCTGATTGGCTGATGTGACGTAATGTGTAACGACATCTGATTAAAAAGCTCAGACCTAGGTATCTGTCATTTTATAGTGTGCCGCCGTGGTTTCTTTGGACAAGATTGTCAGTTTGAGTGTACGTGCCAGAATGATGCCATCTGTGACAATGTAAATGGTAAATGTCACTGTGGATTGGGATGGACTGGGACCAACTGCGAAAAAGGTTAGAAATGCTAGCATTTTAAAATCATCTCTTCAGCGACTGGCCTGCTAGATTGAGCTTAAAACACATTCTGGAAAACAGGTCATTTTGTTGGTTCTTAATGAACCCGTAAAGACTAATATGCAATATGTCGCTGGATCCCAACCTCCATCGCAGGGATTTTCTCTGTTCCTCTCGAGAATGTTGGAAACTGTACGATACGTTAATTATTCTCAATTTGATTGACATTGATAAGTGATTTCGTTTATCTATACATAACCAAACAAACATGTGTGCGGCACGTGTTTTATTACCCCATATATGGCACTGTTCCACGCGTTTACAACGGGACGTTGAATGTGTGTTTCTTTGGAATAAGCCGAGAGTTGTGAATGGGAGTTAACCGAAGCGTTGTAGTAAAATCGTGAAAACAACTGAATAAATCGTGAGCTAATAAGGAAGCGTGGTTCACCTTTTTCACGTTTTCGACAAGAAAGAGAACCCTGGGAACGAAGATTAGCGTAATGTGCTAAAGAAGTATAATGTAACAAATTTACGATAAAACAGTGTGCAGTGACTGACAATTTGGAAAGAACGTTACCCTCTTTTCTTGGCACGGTGTTTGTTGTCTCAAACATCCGGCCAAGCTTTAGAATGGGCATTTTTTTTAATACCTTTCGTAAATGCAACGTTATTGAGCTTTCAACTTGTCGCCCAACACTGTTGCAAGACCCTTTAACTCAATTAATGGTATATCACCCTACGAGCCCTACTTCTTGATTGTGTCTTCACAGAATGCTCTTCTAGGAATTATGGTCTGAACTGTGAACAAAGATGTAAGTGTAGAAACAGAGGAGGATGTGATAAGATCACTGGCTGTTGTCTTTGCCATCCAGGGTGGTATGGGGACAGATGTCAATATCGTGAGTGGAAACTTTTACGTTATTGAGCTTCAATTTTCCATTTATTGTTTGAGTAGTTTTAACTATCGTATTTGTTGTTGTCTTTGCATTTTTTAATTTTTTAATTCACATTAGGTTGCCCTCCTGACCGATATGGCGCATACTGTACTAAACACTGCACCTGTATGAATGGTGGGTCATGTGATCCAAGAACGGGACAGTGCTCCTGTGCTCCGGGGTGGTCTGGGAGAGACTGCACTAAACGTATGTATTTTCCCCACCCCCACCCCCACCCCCTTTGCAACTTGTCCTTGGTGGATCAAAATTTGTCTTCTCAGTCTTAGGTGCGATTTTCATCGGAGTGACGATAGCGACCTGTGATGTCATTAGTTTTTTTCTACTTCGCTGGCTGGTAAACTCGTACCACCCTTTCGATCGATCAGATGTAAAATTAAAACCAACCGTTTGTTGGTCACTCACGTTTTCCCGCGCTCCAGATCTTTTGCTCGTTTTCGTTCTGATTTCTCATTGGCTCCTTAGGTATTTACATTTGTTCTTACTTGTCGTTGCGAATGTATTTTGGCTGAGCTTTATCGATCAAAAATTGCAATCGAAACTCACAACGTATCGTGGATAATCTGATTTCAATCAGTTTACGATGTCCGTTTTGTTTATTTTTCTGACAGGATGTCCGGTGGGGCGATATGGCTTTGAATGTTTGCTCCTTTGCACATGCGCTAACTCATCTTTTTGTGATGCTGCTACTGGACAGTGCAAGTGTCCGAGCGGGCGGACTGGTAGCGACTGTGATCAGGGTAGGTTCTTTGTTATATCATAACTGAATTGCAATTCCTTCTACGGCTGCGCATTGACTATCATCATTATCTCCTCGCCATTTACACCCTAACATGAGTTTGTATATGGGGTGATATTCAGTGTAAGGAGAAATTAGATGGTAGGGGTCAAAGTGTTATTTGCTGTTAGCTCTATTTAAACATTTGGGAGTTTATTGTTGTTAGATTTTGTGTAGGGAAGTAACCTTTTTTTCCTTCTATGCTCAGATACGTATATAAATTGTTTCCACTGCTGAAGTTGTGCTGTGTGAAAACATTTTTCGCCTTTCCTAAGCTAATTTTGTTTGTTTTAGATGCTAAAATCACTCTAACTAGTTTCAATGTATTATTCTGTAATTTATGTTTGTCTGTTAGTCTTCCAACCTGTCTATCTGGTAGTCTATCTGTCTATTAGCTTGTTCTACGACACCGTTTTTTTAAGAAGCACTTTTGTTGTATGATTCAAATAATTCAAAATGCCATCCAAGTTCAGAAATTTTGTTTTTGATCGACTAATAATCCCCCAATTGACATTTTTCTTTATTCTTTTAACTTGTCTGTTTAATATCGTACTATATTGTGAGAGAAAGTCTGTCTTGGTCACTCGTGGGAGTTACAGGGTTTTAAGTTACACTCAACCGATCCGTTTGGGTCAAAACCAAATCGTAATCCAAGGTTAATTAAAAAAATTCTCATCGCTTTCATATTACGAGATTGTTACGTGGAGCCGTCATCGATAACTCAAATTGAATTCAGTTTGTAGAGGGAAGTATGGTCCCGGTTGTTTATTGGGCTGCTCCTGTGGCCAGGGAGGCCTGTGTGATCCGCTGACCGGAAAATGCAAGTGCCGTCCTGGATGGACTGGACCCGAGTGTAGACAAGGTATTTTCGACCAGTTCTCTCTGGCTCATGCAGTTTATTCAAAGACATAAAAATGATTTTAGTCACTACATAATTGACGATAACCTATGACTTCTCATAAATGGCTGATAGCTAACACTGCCTGCCTTCGCTGATTAAATTCAAGGCTTGTTAGTTAATTTCCCGAGATTCAGCAAACTAAAAGGAGGAGATTTTATCATTCCACGACATTTTGTCTCGCTCTTTCTGACAAAGTTTCCTCATTATTTTTTTTTGCAGAAACTCCCATAGAAAAGGCACCTTTTAGCGACGATCACTTGTTTACAATCAACCTGCTTTGAGTCACAAGAACAATGTGTGAGAAAAACTAGGTACTTTCACACAAACAAGCGACTGAAGAGACCATTATATATGAGCGACGAATGCACTTAAACGCGACAACGCTTACGATATTTACAATCGTACTGCACTTTTTTGCTTGCTGACACACTGCTGTATAGTATCGAGAATATCCAAAGAGGCGAAACTAAGAAAGATGCTAAAATCACCATAGGTTTTTATTGGCCGCAGACCACTGGCAACTTTTCAGTACTTTGACAAATTGTTCTGGAGATGATGCCTGCTGACACACATACATCATTTATTTATTTTCCCTGTGGTTAGCGTTATAGTTGTCACCTTATCTTTTCGACAGAGGTTTGACGATCCTTGGTCTTCACTGTAGACTTCAAGTAGTCCCAGCTTACGCAGTCAAGCGGGGAAATGAGCCTGGCATGAAAAATCACGGGTATTATTTTCGCTCAGCGGTTATGCGCACTGTTGTCCTCTATCACTTACTGACCGAAGACAAAGCTTAGAATGAGGACGCCCTTGTAGATACTCGCTTCAGCATGTGCGTTTCTTTGCCTGCGGGAACTTATAAGGCCTTGGGCACGCGAGCTGGCAAGACGTCTGCGTGGGATCTAGCACTAGTGCCGGTAAACCTCTCCCAAACTCGTCTAAAATCTTCCAACGGGCGGAGAAATGTGCGTCACGCTGCGCTACTGATGAGGACCTACTCGCAAGCTATCAAGGAGGAACTTCTTGTAATCAAATTATTTTAGAACCTCTTTATTTCAATAATCTTCAAGTATGTTCATGATCATCTTATCATTTTACCAATAACCGGATATATATTAGATGTTTGTGAAGGTGTTTCTGAAGGTAATTTCCATTTACTCTTTTTACAATCAGCCTAGCATTTCACGCTTTCATGTGTAAGTAATATTTTTTTAAGAAATGAATGAATGTTGCTTTTGAAAAATTAACGAGTGAATTTCTCACGATGCTTTCATGAAACGATCCTCCAGTAAAAATTAGCTTAATTTTCAATGAAGATCACATAGCATTTCCTGTTCTTAATTTGTACAATACAAGCGGTACGTCTTTTCGGCGAAGTCCGTCGTGCGAGTCGAAACAAAAAAAGTCAGCGATGAAAAAAATTGATGTTAGCGCGCCGCGCAGAACTCGGAGAGTGCTACTTTTAGTGCAGCTCACTTTCAAAGTTCTGCGCGGCGTACTAACATCATTTCTCTATCTGGGCTGATTATTTTTGACACGCGCGAAGGACTTTACCGAAAAGGAGACTGCTACTAATCTTCCTAATTTGTTACTAATCGTCCCATGTCAGTCAAATGTAAGGATCCTGCAAGATCGAGATCAACATTTATGTCTCTGTTCAAAGCGCAAACCACCACATATCACCTCGTTCTTTCCGCTCGGATTTTATGACCCGCGTGTGACGTGGTCCGTAACTTAGAGTACAGACCTCGAACTCGGTTAGTAAGAGGTTTATAAATTTTTGACGTCAAAAGTCGATCATATGTCATTGCATCATAATCATGAAAAAAAAGAACTTCCCAACAACCTCATCTTGCTATTGAACGAGGCAAAAACGACAAATCGTACTAATTTTGCGATCCCACCAGTGTACAGCAGTATATCATATTTTGCCCAGTTTTTTCAACACGATGTCCAGAATATCAAATAAGATATTTCCAGCCACATAATCATTGTCCACCAGGTTAATAAGATAATAAGTATCATGAATGGTGTCGATTATCCCACGTGAACGAGATTTATCGGGATAAATATGTCCCCACTGATGCTTCCAGAGAGCAAACGCCTCGTCCTAAAAATGGTAAAAAAATAAAGCGATAAAGAACACTGACAGATCATGACAAAGAGAGGGACTCTTGTGAAAATAATCTCGCCCTATAGACGCATGTGCAAGAGCGGCCTTTACCTGCTCTGCGACAGGTCTGGAAAAACCTCAGCCAATCCTTTCGCTAATCACGCGATTTCCCGCCTTCAAGGTACTTTGCGCGTGTATACTTTGCTCAGATCTCATTGGTTCCTTGTGCCATTTTCCTTAATTCTGATTTGCCATCGCACCAACCTCGATTTTAGCTTTACGATAAAGCAATTTTCATTCGAATGTTGAGAGTTACGCGGGATTGCTTTGTGTTTCCTTATTTCTCTCTGTGATGGGTCCAGAAAACTCGCTCCACTCTCTCAACCAATCAGATGCAAAACTTAAACCAATCACGATTTGGTCGCCCGCGTTTTCCCGCGCTCAGGGTTCTCATTGGTTCTTCAGGGTCTTTTCCTTTCTGTTGATTGGCCGTTGTGAAGGCGTTCTACTCGATCTAGGTGCACTCTTATAAGCTAAAATGTATTCTCGTTTCGTCCAGGTTTCTAACACCTTAAGCGTCAAACCCTTACCTTCCAAAACTGGAAAGCAATAGGATCCACTACAGTCGGTTGAAGAATCTCTGATCCTGGAAACACGCCCCAAGTAACAGCATTGGAAGAGTACACATTCGCATTTGTCACGTCTTCCTTTCCCTGAGATTAAATTACGTGACAGTGACAGTAACTGACGTTAGACGTGCGACAAAGTCGTTTTCTTTGAAACATAATTTACGGCAACTAAAATACGACAAAAACATTAATGGAAGGGTTTTGGGGAACTTTACTCTCTTTTTAACAGTTTCGTCTTCGGTGGTATCTCCTATTCGCTTTAAAGCACCGAGCGCAGCTCGTCTGAACCTCTAAACTACTACGCAAAAAAATTCATCGTAGATTTTAAAGTTTAACTAAAAAAGCAATTTTCAATTGAGTACGGAAACTGATCCTGGATTTCTTTGGCTTTGCTTTACTTCGCTCTGCGATTGGTCCTGGAAACTCGCACCACCATCTCTACCAATCAAATGCAAAACTAAAACCAATCCTAATTTGGTCACCCAGGTTTTCCCGCGCTTTAAGCAGGTTGCCTGTTTTTACTCTGGGTTCTCATTGGTTAATGATGATGCGTGTGTTCTGACTGGTAGTTCTGATAACTTGGACTCTGGTTTAAAACTGCTCTACGACAAAACAAAGATTTAAAATTACTCACCGAGAAGTTCACAATGTGATAATTAACGGTAGGATAGTCTTGAAGGACTTCATGAAGGCACATTGCTATTTCTTCACTGGTAAAGAACTCCAAATAAGCCTGTAGGAACATGAATACATATACCATTTAGAAAACCTTCGCACGGGTTTCATTGAATCCTCCACGTCCTAACATCAGTATGCACATTCTCCATACTGTTCTCCATACAGTTCACACGGTGCTGACAAGGAGAATTTGTGTAACAATCAAGGGCTTCTTTAATTGGTGATCAGTTCCTTTATTCTCAAGACCTTTATGTTTGATTCTAGGGTGATATTGTAAGGAGAAATTAGAAGCTTGTTTAAAAGTAAAACAACAATCCATGTCAAAACTGTTGAACCATTTCTCCCCTTTCCCCCTCCTCCACATTAATGTTGGTCACAAAAAAATTTAGTTCGGTCGTGATAGACTTTTAATTCGTTTAGCGACAACCAATCAGCAGAGTTCACCTTTTGAAAAACGTATCCGCCCGGACGCCCCCATCCCGACACAGGGTCTGTGGAAGGTGCACCATTCACGTTTGGCTGGCTGTTGATCGTGAGTATTCCGTGTCTGTTGATATGGGCGAGTTTATCGACAAAAGGCAATGTTTCTGATGCTAGTT